CCTCCCGATGCGATGATGCGAGTGACACCTTCCTCGGTTTGCAGCTTTGCTCCCTTGTCCAAGAGCTGCCCAGGGGAGACCAAGTTGGCCTTCATTCCTGGCACAAAGAGGACATCATGTAGGGTCACACGCAAGCCGTTAGTGCCCTCCAGCAAAACCTCACCAACACCGGCAACTTCCTGCATAGAACCATCAAACCCTTTGACTGATTTCGTTGCAGATGGGTCACGGATCACCGTGAACCACTCCTTGCGGCCGGTCATGTGTTGAGAGCATCCTGAGTCAAGGAACCACAAGTCCTTGTCGTCGGCCAGCAACTTTGCAGCCGAACACGCGACGGTGAGCGCCACGCCCTTCCCGTCTCCTTCAGCTACGTTCGCGGCTGCCGCGGGCGTTTTATCTTTCTTCTTGTTGGGGCACTTGGCAGCCATGTGCCCCTCCTCATTGCAGTTGTAGCAGCGCCCCTTGAAGGGGGCTCGCTTCTTCTCCCGCTTGCCATCCTTCTTCTTGTCCGTCTGCTCCCTTCCCCCTTTTCCTTCCTTCCCGTTGACCCCCGTTGTAGCCACGATGATGTTGACAGCGCCCGAGAAAGCAGATGCATCGCTGGTGATCTGCTTGTAACTCTGTTCGATGGAGAGAGTCTGCTCCTCCATCAACACCTCGCTGCACACGCGTTCCACCGTCATGTCAGGGCTGGAAATTTCGAGCTTGCAGCGAAGAAATCCGTACTCCGGTGGTAGGCCCTTCAGCACGTGGGCGGCAAACGTGGCCATGTGGACCTCCTGTCCAATGGTCAGCAGCTCCGCTCGGATGGTGCGGGCCCTATTGCAGTAGGATTCCGCTGTCTCATCGTCTCCCTTCCTGAGTTGGGCTAACTAGGTCCGAAGTAGGGAAGCGTGGAGGGCATCACGGACTTGATAAGTAGACAAGATATATGCCCATGCTAGCTGTCCGGCTTTCTCTTGCTCAGAGAAACCAGAGATGGACATTCGGATGGGTGGAGAAACACATCGGTTTAGCACCATGAATGCAAGCATTTGACCCTTTGCGTACTCCCTTCGTTGCAAGGGGTTGTTTGGGGCCGGGCTTCGTGCTGTCCCGTTGCAAAACTGCCACAAATCAGCACACTGGAGCTGAGGTCGGATGGCGCTGACCCACGCGGTAAGGTCGTGCCTTCCCTCCAGCAGCGGCCTCACCGAGATGTGCTCAACTCCAAACTTGAATTGGCCATAGCTCGTGCCGATCATTCCCGTGTCAATGGTCGGTGCAAGAGCTCCTCCACCAATGCCCACAGCACTTGGAGCCTCGTGCACAGCTCCTCCTTCACCGGTTCCTCCTTGCTGGCCGCTCGCAGGTGCTTGCTCCGCCGCGCGCTCCCGAACCATGCGTAGTAGACAACCATCCACAATGAGGTCGACCTCCTCATCACGCAAGTGAGGGTGGTGCTCACGAACGGACGCCTCCAGCTCCTGACGGGCATTCAGACCCTCAGCGCTCGTTAACCACTCCATGCGCAGTCAAAACGAGCGTCGGCCACACCAACGTGGGAACGAAGTGATGGGAGGACAAAATCAAGCCGCTAGCTGGATCGACGCAGATAACGCAGCTCTGATACCATGTAGAATTCCACTACTAGAGCAGCTTGATAGAGCTCAAAAGCACGATTCCAACGCACCAAAGATTGCAGGAAACGATCCACTATAGCCAGAGTTACACACAAACATAGCAGTGATAATGACTTGGTTGATTTCTGGTTTGTGCTCTCTGGTTTTATACTAGGACGCAATACAAAATAAAAGAACACAAGAAATTGTCGACCCGGGTCGCACGTTGAATTTCGTCGACGCGAAATTCAGAGCCTTGAATTTCGCCGAGCGAATTCCATTGACTGGAATTCCGTAGACGAGAATTTCCGCGACAAGAATTCTGTCGACCACCGACTGTAACTCCCATGCGAATTCCGTTGACCTCGACACTTCGCTGCCGAGTTTCAAACCGAACGCGACCCGAGATCGATTTCGCCAAACTGTCCCCAATCTGTCCCCAAACTGTCCCCAATCTGTCCTGACAAGACACTTTCGGGACACTTGAATCAAAAGGTCTCCAGTTCGAAACTCGTGTGCACCAAAACCAGCGCCTTAGCAGAAACTGTCCTGAATCTGTCCTGAGACACTTTCAGGACAGATTTGAAGGTCACGAGTTCGAATCCCAGCGCAGACATTTTGTTGCTCATGGCAGCATTTCCTTCTAACAGTGGTCAGGGTCGCCGCACAGAAAGCACTCCCGACATCGACTTCCTCCTCCACGACCGCTCTCCTTCGCCGACTTCTTGTCGGCGTCCCTGGTCGGCCTACCGCCACTGCTTCCACTGCCGCCAGACTGCCGACATTGCCCCGGTCGACAACCTTGCTTCGCCGGGGCGACGTAATTCGCCTGCGGCAGGAGCTCTGTGGGCTGCTCAGTTTCCTGCATTGCCTCATCCTGCAGGATGCACGAGGTAAGAGAGCCCTCATTGAGTGTCGCCCTAGTACTCGGAGCCATCGACAGCCGCTTCAGCAGGTTGTAGCTGCTCGTGAGCCCTTTGATATCATGCCTGACGTACGACGCTGTCGAGTAGTTCACGACGGCCATCCACATTGTGGCGCGAAGTTGCCGAGCCCGGTTGCAGTAGTCGGTCGCCGTCTCCTGTTCGCCCATCCGCTGGTGTGACAGGTGCTCCTCGAGCTGGCCAATGTACAGGTTGTCGGTGACCTGGTACGTCGACTCGATGAAATGCCACGCCAGGTGGCTAGCGTCGAGGTACTCCCTGCACAACTTCAAGGCGATCTGCACGCTCAGCGAGCAGCACCGCGAGATGACAGTGAAGGTCAGCAACTGCACTGTGCAAAACTCTGCACGGAAGGCCGGGTAGTCATCCGACAGGGTTGCCACGGTGCCTCTGGCAAAGCCAATCAGCCCAGCCATCTCTAGCTGGGGCTCGATAGCTTCCTTCCAGATGAGGATGTTCGATCGACCAAAGAGCAGGGGGGTGACTGAGATCCTGTCCGGCGTAAACTTGAAGTAGTCATAGCTCGGTGCAATCCCGCCCGCTGTGACGTGGGTCACGTACAAACTGCTTCGTCTACCTCCGAGGTCGCCTTGCGAGGTGCCTACAGCCGTCGACGACCGCATCCCTCGCACCTTAACGCCGCCGACTTCATCGGCGTGAATCACACCTCGCTGCCTCGACGTGCCTCCCGCACTGCTGCCAACTTGGTCACCGCCGGCGTTGACGCCCGTGTCGACGCCGCCCTCGGTGTTCACCGGTCGAGGAGAGACAGGCCAAGAAGGGTGCTCCGTCGCCCACACGGCACGGACGCCAGCCTGGACGACCGCCCAGGGCAGGTTGCCATACTCGTTAGCCTCGTGACGACTCCTTGCGTTCTCCAGCCGTGCCTCAAGGTGTCCACCACCCCCGTGTCTACTATGGCGCCTACCATAGTGATTACCGCACAAGTGCCAGCCTACGGACACAAATTAGGTAAGTGACAACCACGTCGACGTGACTAAAAGGTAAGTCGTGTGCCGTCCATGCTCGCCTCACCATGCGGGGATAACTCTATCAACGGGAGGTAGACTACGGACTAGGCACGGGGTAGGAGGGATCTCTGCATTCGTTCACTTAGTTGTTCTCTACCACTTGTACATGCATAGGGCAAAACCGCAGGAGTTTCAGTAGCAAAGGTTGAGAACAATGTTTCAGAATGATAGCATCAACATTGGCATGCAAGACTACATCAGAACTACCAAAGCTACTCCAGCGCAGCACGGTCGACTGCGTGCTAGCACGACTTGGTCGACCGCGCTCCAGCAGAGCAAAGTCGAGGCTTGCCAACGTTGCAAGTCCACGGTGTGCCAACGCTGCAGCAAGTCGGATGCACAGCGTTGCACCTGCAGGACAACGGTGCACCTGCTTCGCAGGTGCGTGCAGCTGATTGGTGTGCCACTCCTCGTCACGGGCACAGAGCAGACGCCTGGCAAACTCCATGCCAGCGACTGAATCTACCAGCCACGTCGACCTCGGGATACCACACCGAGGTCAGCCTCGCGACTGACACCTGGGCGACTGTCGTGTGCCTCCGTAGAAACCCGTCGCTCGGGTAACCTGGTCGGCAGGGCAACCACCTCGTCGACCAGCTCCTCCTGGCGCCCGTTGACCATCCAGATCGGCGACCACCAGCGGTCGACCGCGCACCTGGTTGACCAACTCTACGTCGACCAATACATCTGTCCGCCGACCATCAAGTCGGCTCCCCCAACTCGGCTTCACCCAGTCAACGTCCTCCACAAGTCGGCCTCCCAAGTCGACCTCCCCGAAGTTGGCGCCTTCCAACTCGGCGCCCTACTGCTCGACGCCCAGCTACTCAGCGTCCTGCTACTCGATGCCCTCCAGCTCGACATCCCCATCCTCCCCTGTCAAGGTCGACGCCGGCCCCTCCTCCGTCGACCACCAGGTCAGGTCGACCACCAGGTCGACCACCCCAAAGTCGGTGCCCAGAAGTCGGCGCCAGTGCAGTGGCCCCTGTGCAGGTCGACCACCCTTGTCGACCAGCTCGCCCACTGCTGCAGGTCGGCTGCACTACCCCGTTCACCCGACCACGAGATCGGCTCCGCCCAAACGAGGACGGGGCCTAACACAACTCTCATTGACAGAGAAGACCCGGATTGTTGCGAAAGGCAGAGGGGACAGCGTGGTTCCCGAGGAGGTTCCCTGGGAGGAACGGGATGGGGGAAAGGCGGCACAAGTCCAGAGGGGGGGGGGGTGGGGGGGGCGGTGGTGCAGGGGCTGGGTATGCGGGGGAAACGGTAAGGGCAGGGCGGAGAGAGGAAGGGAGTGTTGTGTCAAGGGGGTTAGGAAGCATTCAAGGTGCAACGGGGGGGGGGGGGGGGGGAGGGGGGGATGAAGGAGAGATGAGATACAAGGGCGGCGGGATGAGAGCCAGGAGATGGGCACAACAAGGTTAGAACCAATGCGAAGTACAAGCATAAGTCCAATGCACGAGGGGGAGGGACGGGGCAGGGTAGGAGGAGGGGAAATAAAGTGGTAGAGGAGGGGAGTGAGGAAGGCGCGACATTGACAACGCTGAAGGAATGTCCGATGGGAGGAGCAAGAACTGAGTGCCAGAAATGGGGGGGGAGGAGGTGAGATGAGCAGCTGGCAGAGGGGACGTGCGGGGTGAGGCAGGGAGGGGGTGGGGGCAGAGGAAGAGGAGGGGAGCTGAGATGGGTGGAGGGAGGGGCAGACGCCGAGATGACAAGGTAGGGGGGAAGGTGGGAGAAACGGAGTACGAGTACAGGAGAGTGGGGGGAGCGGAGGCCAGGGGTCAACGGAGGGCCAGGACGAAGGGAAAGAGCGAGTGCAGGAGGAGAAAGAGGAGGGTTGAGAAGGGAGAGCGGGCGAGAGCTCGTTGGGTGGGAGGTGAAACAGGGGGGGCAGCTGGGCAAGTGAAGTGAAGGGGAGGGCGAAGGGTCGGGAGAGGGAAGAGGGGAGACGAAGGGGGGGGAGGGGGGGAGGGGGGGGGGTGGGGGTGAAAGGCCGAGGGTGGAGCAGAGCATGGAAGGGGACGAGGCAGGCCGGGGGGGGCGGGAGGGGGGAGGGGCAGGAAGGGTGACTGAGGAGAAAGTCGTGGAAGGCAGCAAATCGGGCAGAGAACGAGAGGGGTAGGGTGGGGACACGGGGACTGAGGGTAAGAGGGAAGAGGGAGGGGCAGAAGGAGGTCGGGGGAAGGGCTGATAAGGGGTGGGGATGGGGCATATGTGAGAGAAGGAGTGTGCTCCACAAGAGACATTGAAGGATGGTGGCTGAAAAAGACAAAGGAATAGGAGCAAAAACAGGCAAGACGAAAAACGTTAAGGTTGGGAGAGCTGGGGCAAAGGGAGGGGGAGGGGAGGTACCATTGACTTGCTGCAGTTGTGCAACGGTGATAGTGTCCCTGTTGGTGAGGCGGTTCCTGCACTTAACAGCGAAAGTTGAGTGGTCAGATGCACGGTGATTGTTGGCGCAGAGCGTGCAGAGGTGGGAGGAGAAGTTGAGGAGCATGGGCGGCTTCATCTCCTCCAGCGGAATCTCAAAGGGAATGGGGTTGTCCGGGGTGGCAATGGGGAGGCCAGACAGGTGGGTAAAATAGATGTTTTCGTATGGGTCTTAAGCACGGTCGAATTCAGTGAGATCTGTCAGCCAGTGGCTGCCATCAGTTTTGGTGCACTTGAGCAGGAAATCGTGGATGTCGTCAGGCGCGTAGTCCAGCAGGACACTACGAATGGAGAGGGTAGTGGCGCCGGCGGCTTTGGCAGCTGTGTAAGCCTCATTCCTATCCTCGAGCACCTTCACGAGGATAGGGCAAACGTTCGGAAGCCTAAGCAGGTGGGGGAAAAGACCGCGAAAGGCATTGCGTCCTTCGGCGACGATCAAGAAAAGAGCAGACGGGCATATGACCGGCGCGCGACACGAAGCGGTTCCCCAGGTGTTGCTTCATAATCAGCGATGATACCAGCACCGCGGAGAACGGTGCTGATTCCGCCGACTATTTCAGCCCGGTGGGCCTCTGCACCAGCTGCGGGAAGCAAGATTACGACGACGACACGGCGGCGGACCGGGAAGAGCGTAGGGCCGGCGGAGGCCATGTGCGGGCGGCGAGAGTTGCGGACCGATGTCCCGGGACGAGGGGTGGCAGGACGCGATGCGGGGAGTGTGGGGGAGGCGTCCAAGCAAGCGGTGGCGGACGGGAGGGCTGAGGTAGGGACCGCGGAGGCGAGCAGAGAAGCGGCGAGGCCTGGCAGTGAGGAAAACTGGCCTGGCGGCGTGGAGGAGGCAGCCGCCGCAGCGGACGAGGGGCCGGGCATGAGAGTACCAATGGCAGCGGTGCAGGGTTTCTATTGCAGCGGGGAGGTCGTCAGGCACAGAGAGCTGGTGAAGCATGCCCTCGGGAAGATCCTCGACCACAAGGTCGTCTCCGGTGGCGACGAGCGCGGCTTCCTCGGCAGCTGACATGACAAGGTCCGCGGTGCAGAGATAACTAGTGCAACGGGAGCTAGGCTACGAGCTAGCCACGGGGCAAGAGTGATCTCTGCGTTCCTTAGTCATTTTCCTAGTGCACACACTACTTGCTAGTTCACGGGGCAATTTGGCAAGGGTTTCACTAAGAAAGATGACAACAATGACAGCAACAACATTGGCAACACAGACTACATCAGAGCTAGTGTCACAATGTAAAATTGACTAAAACAGAAAGTACAAACAAGGTATATGCAAAACCTAACCCTAGCGCAAGTACAAAATAACACAAGGGAGAACACCTATACTAGAACTACACAAACTATTGTTTTAGTCAATTTAACATTGTGACAAGGAAACGAGCTAGGTTAACCCTAGCGAGATTTTCCCCCCTAGGAAAAATTACTCGACTATCATGGGCCCACCTAGTCGCGCCCCATCCTAGACCGCCCGTATCGCGCTTACCTTAGGCCCCGTCGCCCGTAGACCCCTCCCCCCCCACCCCCCCCCCCCATCGCCAGTCCCCCGTCGCCCGTTTCCCCCCGTCGATCGCGGCCGTTTTCACAGTTTTTCCCGTCGCCTGTCACCCGTCGCGGCTGTTAATTAACGGGCCCCGTGGCCTTTTGTTAGCAGGCCCCGCGGCCTTCCGTTAGCGGGCCCCATGGCCCTTCGTTCGTGGGCCCAAAGGCCCCTTTGCTAGCGGGCCCCACGGTCGTCGTTAGTCGCACGCACGCACAGCAGCAGCCGCGCGCACCTGCGACCCGTCGCCCCACCCGTTTCCCACCGTCGTAACCGCCGCCCCACACGTTAGACGTGGCCCCACCCGCTGCCTTACCCGCCGCCCACCCTGTTAGCCGTCGCCTCACCCGCGATCTGCCGCCCCACGAGCAGAAAACCGCCGCCACACCCGAAATCGGCTGCCCCAGGAACTGCAAACCGCTGCCCCATAATTGAAAACCTCCGGCCCATACCTGGAAACTGCCGCCCCACCTGGAAACCTGCTGCCCCACCTATTCCAGTCACCTCACCCGGAATCAGCCGCCCCATCCAGTACTCTCCACTGCACTGAACCGCACAGAACCGTGCAGAATCGCGCAGAACTGCACAGAACCGCACAGAACCGTGCAGAATCACGCAAAACTGCACAGAACCGTACAGAACCGCACAAAACCACCGCCTTACCTTCCCCACCCGTCGCCCGCTGCCTTAACAGCCGTCCCACCAGACACACGACTCCCCACGAGCTGCCACACCAACCGCCAGTAGCACCAGCAGATTACACTACCGCCAGGAGCACCACCAACAGCTTAGACTGCCGCCAGTAGCACCAGCAGCAGCTTCCACTGCCGTCAGCACACCAACAGCAACTTAAACTACCCCCCAGCAAAACCAGCAGCAGCATAGGCTGCCCCCAGCGCACCAGCAGCAGCTTAGGCTGCCCCCAGCAGAACCAGTAGCAGCTTAGGCTACCGCCAACGCACCACCAGCAGCTTAGGCTGCCCCCAGCAGAACCAGCAGCAGCATAGGCTGCCCCCAGCGCACCAGTAGCAATTTAGGCTACCGCCAGCGCACCAGCAGTAGCTCAGGCTGCCCCCAGCAAAACCAGCAGCAGCATAGGCTCACATGGCGTGTACTAGAGTTCTACAGCAGCAGGGCCTTCCGCAGCACTCCCAGCCACAGCACTCCCGGCAGTGGGGACCTGCGGGTCCAAAGGGTGGAGCCCCCAGCAGTGGCTCAGCTAGCAGTGGGCGAGACGTCGGCCTCTGCGGGTACCGGGCCCTAACAGGCCCTGGTGCTGGCACCACCTGCTGAAGTCCTGACCACTCTGCGTCCACCTGCTACCGTCGACTCGACAACCTCCACCGTGAGCGTTGTGGTCCTCACGCTATTACACCGCACTGGCCCTCGCGTCGCGCACTGCTGCACCAGTTGAGTCTCACCTGCCTGGTCTAGGACCGTTCCCGGCTGCACGAGTAGAGACCTGTGTTTCCAATCTTGGTGCGTGTGTTGTTTTGAGTCCAGGCGCCTCTGAGGGTCTTTGTGTAGGAGCTGCAGCTACCACTAGTCTAGCAGCAGCCTTTGTCGCTGGTTCGGGTGCGACATCACAGACTGCAAAGCTTTGCTTCACTCTGGAGCGTCGAGCTGTTTCTTTCGCGACTGTACTGACCTCACACCACTGCGCACTCCAGTCACTGTCGCCTTGGCTGACCCCTCTTTGGGACCTGTAGTTTCTAGCAGCACCACCACTCTCCCGTGTCCAGCGGCTCCCTCAGGTTTTCTTAGAGGTTACTACACCCCCTCGTTCTCTAGGAACCTGGTGGGTGTCAGTCACCTCCACGACCTAGGTGTAGTCACCACTTTCCCACTGGACGAGCCTGTTGCCTCCTGCACAGTCGGTACCACTGGGGCCCCTCTGGCCACTTTTCGCAGGAAGCCAGGCTCTGGTCTGTACTCACTACACACTGGGTCCCACCGCATTGGGTCAGGCCAGGTCAGGTCAGGTCAGGTAGCTGCTGTGTCGTGCGACTGTCGCTCCCTCACCCACCCGTCTGTCCTCTGGCACCACCGTCTAGGTCACCCGTCATTCCCACGTCTCAGTAGGATGGCACGTTACCGTCTGGTCTCAGGTCTCCCAGAGTCGCTTGCCCCGCTTCCTCGCTCGCCTGCGCCGCTGTGCACTCCTTGCGTCGAGGGTCGGCAGCGCGCTGCACCTCACTCCTCCTCGTTCCCCCCCACCACGGCTCCCTTCCAGACCCTGCACGTCTGGGGCCCCTCGCCGATCCTTCGACCACGTCAGGAGCGCTGTCACAATGTAAAAATTGACTAAAACAGAAAGTACAAACAAGATATATGCAAAACCTAACCCTAGTGCAAGTACAAAATAGCACAAGGGAGAACACCTAGACTAGAACTACACAAACTATAAAATTATAGTTTGACAAGCGCTACTTCCTGATTGTGGTGGACGACTACTCCCGCTACACCACGGTTTTCCCCTTGCGATGGAAGGCCGACGTGCCTACCGTCCTCGAGCCGTGGCTACTAGCGTGGGGTGGCGCCCAGGGCCTGTGTGGGCTTCGCCTACACTCGGACCGTGGTGGTGAGTTTTCTTCCACTCGCCTGGAGACGTTCTGTCATGGTCGGGGGATCATCCAGTCTTACACGCTACCAGCCTCGCCGCAGCAGAACGGGGTAGCCGAGCGACGCATCGGCCTGGTCATGGAGGTTGCCCGGACCTCCATGTGCCATGCCGGTGCCCCCCAGTTCTTGTGGCCTCAGGCAGGCAGCTACGCCGCGCACCTGTTGAACATTTGGCCCAGTGACGCACGGCCACGGGTGACGCCGATCTCCCTTTGGACAGGTTCTCCGGGCGTAGCAGCTGACTTCCGTGTCTGGGGTTCTCGGGCTCACGTTCGCGGCTAGAATCCGCTGAGCCCTGTTGCAGTAGTCGGTAGCTAACTCCTCTTCACCCATTCGTATGTGCGATAGCTGCTCCTCAAGCTGGCCAATGTACAGGTCATTGGTGTCCTGGTACGTCGACTCGATGAAGTGCCACGCCCGGTGGCCGGCGTCAAGGTACTCCCTGCACGACTTCAAGGAGATCTGCACGCCCGACGAGATGGCCGTGAAGGTCAGCAACTGCACGGCGCGAAACTCCGCACGCAGGTCGGGGTAGATCTCCTCCGGCGTCCCCACGGTACCATGGGCGAAGCCGATCAGCCCGGCCATCTCCAGCCAGGGCTCGATGGCTTCCATACAGGTGAGAATGTCAGGTCGACCAACAAGCAGGGGGGTGACTGTGATCCTGCTCGGCGTAAACTTGAAGTAGCCATAGCTTGGCACGATTCCAACATCGGCGACAAACCGCTTCGTCGACCTCCAACATCGCCTTCCGTGGAGCCTGCAGCCGCCGACGACCGCACCTCTTGCGCCTAAGCGCCGCCGACTTCATCGGCGTGTATCACACCTCGCTGCCTCGACGTGCCTCCCGCACTACTGCCGACTTGGCCACCACCGGCGTTGATGCCTGCGTCGACGCCGCCCTCAGTGTTCACCGGTCGAGGAGAATCAGGCCGAGAGGGAGGGTGCTCCGTCGCCCACACTGCGCAAATGCCAGCATCGACGACCGCTCAGGGCAGGTTGCCATATTCGTTGGCCTCCTGCCGTCGCCTCGCGTTCTCCAGCCGTGCCTCCAGGGTGCCCACCCCCCCTGCGTCACCTACGGCGCCTACCATGGTGACTAACGCACAACTGCCGGCCTACGAACACGATAGGTAAGTGCAAAGTCGGCTAGACTGAACTACGTCGCGGTGCCGTCAACGCTAACCGCACCATGCGGAGATAACTAGTACAACGGGAGCTACGCTACGAGCTAGGCACAGGGCAAGAGTGATCTCTGCGTTTCTTAGTGGTTTTCCTAGTGCACACACTGCTTGCTAGTTCACGGGGCAATTTGGCAAGGGTTTACTAAGAAAGTTGACAACAATTATAGCAACAACATTAGCGACACAGACCACATCTGAGCTAGCTAGGCTGCTGGTCAACCTCCAGTGCAGCACGGTCGACCGCGATCAAGCGCAGCAGAGCTCGCACCGCTCCGGCGTGGCAGAGTAGCGGTCCGCCAACGTTGCAAGTCCACGGTGTGCCAACGCTGCAGCAAGTCGGCTGCACAGCATTGCACCCGCAGAACAATGGTGCACCTACTTTGCATGTGTGTGCAGCTGGTTGGTGCTCCACACCTAGTCACAAGCACAGCGCAGACGCCTAGCAGACTCCACGCCAGCGACTGCGCCCACCAGCCACGTCGACCTCGGGATACCACCCCCGAGGTCAGCCTCGCAGAATTCACCCCGCCGACCTTTGCACACATCGCTCGGGTATCCCGGTTGACCGGGCAACCACGCCTGGTCGATCAGCTCAGTCCATAGCCGGCCACACATGCCCGGCGTCCCCAGTCCGGTGTCCAGGTGCCCTGGACGCCGTGCAGACGCTCAGGT